TTTGCAAGAACCCTGTGGTGATCCCAGCAAAGCTCCTTGGTGTGTTGGCTTGTTACATTGAAAAATCCTGTCTTCAGCCTGTTATTTTATTTTATATTATTTTTAGTGCAAACTTACTCATAGCGTTATGTGCAACTTTGTGGAGCTCATTGAAAATTGTGATTTAGTTTGTGCTCCCAGGGAATGCTGAAAGTGGCTGGAGCCTGCTATGGCATCATTCGGCGTCAGGGGGACCGAAGGAGGGAGGAGGAGAAGGGATGGCTTTGTCCCGGCACCCAGGGAGCACTTTTTTTTTTTACTTTTAAGTGAATTTAACAACCAAAAAAAAAAAAAAAAAAGGGTTATATCAGCAATGCTGGCATATGAGCTTCAGTATTGATTCACCCTGCAAACGCCTGGAAGCGGTGCAGATGACCAGGAGCGAGGCAGGAGCGAGCGCTGCTTGGAGCAAGCCCCAGTCTCCTGCATTTCCTTCAGCAACTGTGCAAAGGTGCAAAGGCCATGTGCTGAGCTCAAGAAGCCAGCCTTGTTTCTACTCCCCTGATTTAAAAAAATAATAATAAAAAATGCTCATTCCTATCCCTGCATCAATCGAGGACCGAAAGCGGGTGGGAGGCAGAGCCTGGCTGTCCCACTTGCCACGCACTGCACCTCATCCAGCCCCAGCTACATGGAGGCGATGCCACCACCGCTCACCCTGCTCCCTCTTGCAGTGGAGGAGAGAAGGGCAAGGGCAGGGCAGGGTGACATTCCAGCAGCTGCGTGGATGAGAGAGCTCCTGGCGGCTGCTTTTGGACGGTGAGGAGGTGCTCGCATGCTGGCGTGGGCCAGCTCTGGTTTGTCTGGGAGAACACCAGCAGAAAGCAAACCCTTTCTGCCTCCCGCTCACAAGCCGGGGAGGAGCTCAGGTGTGGGTGGCAATACTTAATTTAAGAGAAACCTGAATGACCTCCTGGTAAATCAGGGTGAGGAGGGATGTTTCAGGAGGGACGGCTGGCTGGTGGGCTTGGCCGTGTGCCGGGGGAGCGAGCCAGCTCCACCGCGTGCTTGGCACGCTCGTGCCTGCACCGCAGCGAGGCTGCTTGCACTTGTTGTAGCCGAAAAACAAGCAGCAGGGCCAGCCAGCATCAAAAGCCACTCGATTTCCTCCTCTGCTTACATAATTATTAAAGGCAAATAAGAACCAGCTCATACATAAAGAACAAAAAGAAAACAAAAAACTCCAGATCCAGCCGTGGGCTTCGGCAATAAGTCACAACATCCCTGGTTGGACAAAAAGGATCCTTCATGGGAACCTCCAGAAAAAATCCCTTATGTTGAGGAAGAGTATTGTGTATTGTGACACAGGAAAAATGGAATTAAAGAAAAAAAAATAAACAGTACAGTGCTCATTATCTCAGAGCACTTGTGCAGCGGCCCTCACCCATCCTTGTGGGACAGCCACCACCCAAGGATGAGAATTTTGGCAGCAGTTGTGTCAAGGACTCGTTGCTGCAACTGCAATAGCAGTGAACCTAAAACCCAGTTTGATGTATCAGAATTTTGACAGCATCCAAAGCATGTGGGTTTTATAGGATCTTCTTCTTCTTCTTCTTCTTCTTCTTCTTCTTCTATTATTATTATTATTATTATTTTAATAATTATAATATAATAATAATAATAATAATAATAATAATAATAATAATAATAATAATAATAATAATAATAATAATAATAATAATTGATTGTTGATTGCTATTATTGTTTGGTTTGGAGACTCCAGTCACCAACCTGGTTTCTGAAGATAGTAAAGATGCCCCAACAAGCCCGTTCAGCCTCTCAACTTCAGCACACTGTTTGGATACCTCACACCAGATCTCCGTAACTTTGCCATATCCAAGAAATGTGTCCTGTGCTTGGCCCCGCAGTTCCTGGAGCCTGGACCCAACGCTGCAGCTGCTGAGGAGCCGCAGTAGTTGTAAAGGCCCACATTTGCCTTGGTGGCTCCATGGTGGTTTGGGAAGAGCCCCCCAAACTGCTCCCCATTCCTACACACGGCTGAGCTGGCTGAGCACCTTTGTGGTCTCCACCCAAGTGCTGTGTGACCATGTCACCAGTGCCACCATGGCAATGTTCTAGAACATCGCTGGGAATTTTGGTGCTATATATGATTGGACATTTTTCTGCAAATATATCAAAAATATTTGAAAATATGGTGTCTAGACTCCAGCTACTGCCTGAGAAGCCAGCAACAGCAGTGGCCCAAACACTGCAAAATAAAAGACCGGGGAAAAGCAAAGAATTGAGGGAAAGCTGGTGAGCATAGGAGGCTCTGGCCATGGCAGCAGTCCCGTGGCTGCCAGTGCGCTGCCCTTCGGCAGCTATCGGGAATTGTTATCGGGCTACCAGGATGTGTCAGAAAAGAAAAAAAAAATAAAAAAAACTCTTTTAAAACATGCTCAACATGTACAGCTGCTGAAACATCTGTGCCGAACATGATGACACAAGCTGTAATTGTGGCGGCCGGGGAGGGGGAGGCAATGAGGAGAGGTTAAGGAGGGGGCTGAGCGCAGTCCCCGGGTGAGGGTCCAGAGTGGGCTCTGCCCATGGGAGTCCCCAGGCTGGGGTGCACTGGGGGTGCCCCTATCTCATGGAGCACCCCGCAGCTTGGGGGGCCATCCCCTAAATCCCAAGTTACCTTGCCTCCTTGTCCCTGTGTGGCCAAAGCTGCCTTGGGATGGACGGAGGCAAATCCATTAACTTCCAGCACCCTTTCTGTTGTGTTTAGCTCAGGGTGATGAAGGTGATGGAGGATTCAGATAGGGAGACCTTTGCCTTGGAAATTTGGTGGATTTTTTTTTTTTCCCATTAAAAATAAATAAATAAATAAAATAAAATAAAAGAAGACCACAACGTCTCCTTGGCGTGCAGCTCGACAGGTGGGTTTTGCAGAGCCTTGCTGCGCAGGTGAGGATTTCTGGAGATGTTGATGTGGGCAGAAAAAAATTATTCTCTGTCCTGGAGTGAGCTCAGGGAAAAAAAAAATAAAAAATAAAAAATAATAAAAAAAAAACAAACCCCAAAATCCCCTGCTCCCGCTTCTCCCCCTGCATTGTGTTGAAAAAAACATATAAGAACCTAAATAGAATAGAACAGAAATCTCCCTTAATCAAAACAACATTATGCCAAAACCCCTTTCGAGGGAAGTGAAACGCACACAGCAGCACAGCCCTGCTTAAAAATAGAACAGCCTTTGCCTTGTAAGTAACAAAAATACATAACAGCATACTTCTGCAGCCTGAGCTTTGAAGGATGTCTGTCATACGCCTAGGCTTATTTTACGCCCCTTCCCTTTTTTAAAAGAGGAACAATGCCATCTTCCCGAAAGGAAATAGGCAATAAAAACTCCAGCAGGATTTCCTATTCATAATTTTTCCCATTCATATCCTAATGGGTGAAGGAAAAAAAAAAAAAAAAAAAGAAAAGAAAAAAAAAAACAGCTTTAACAACTTAAACGGCACTTATTAAATAGATATTTTTACATGCCTGGTTTTTCCTAAACGTGGTCTATAGTTTTACAGTTCAATTAAGTCTTTTTTTTTTTCTTCTTTCCAGATATCCTTCTCAGAACGGGCTGAATTCTGTGTGAGATGATGTAAAGCATCTGATGACAAAATATCAAATATATTTATAAAACACCCTGTTGAGTTTTTATCTGTGCCATTACATTTTTAATTAATAGATTTTTTTTTGTTGTTTTACAAATGTTGTGTTTTACTGCCAGCATGATCTCACTGCTTTACAGTATCGATAAATGAAGGCACACCTGCACTATAAAATCTGCTTTATATGAAGCAGGCCATTCATGTTTTTATAGCCCATTTTTCACCCATTGTTCTTGGGTCATGTCATAGGTGTGCTGTAATGCGTGGTGGAGGTGGGCGGCTAGAAGATCAGTTTAACAAAATGGTCTAATTTTGCCAACTTTAGTGCCAGAATCTGGACTGAAAAATGCAGAACTAATATCCCAATAGACATACTACATGATGTCACTTCCCTGGAAATGTCCAAGACAAACAGCTATTTCCAGATCACTTGCACTTATAACACGAGTTCTACCTCCTTTCTTATCCCCAAATTACTATTCCTGTGTTTTCTTGCAATTTTTATGTTAACTTGGTCAATGTTTGAACTTTCCTGACTCTTTGTAAGCCTTGCAGGTTTTATTATGTCGGTTCATATAATGTGACAAGGTTCATTCCAAATCTAATGATGTTTTTGGAGTCTGCAGACCTACGAGCTCTATTTAAAATGCTCTCGAAAAACAGCACAACACAAATTCTCTTAAAAGCGCAGGCTGAAGTTTACGCACGTACACAAAAGGATTTGCTACGGAGTCCGGTTCCCTCGCTTAATTAGAAAAAAAAAAAACAAAAAACAAAAAAACCTACTGCCTTTCATAAAGCGCTCTTTCGCTCAGAGGACTCCTGAATGATTTCGCCTCTGCTGCGTTCCCCGGGAAGCCGCTCGCCAGGCTGGAGGGCTGGCGGCCGCGCGGTGCAGGCAGGCGCTTCGTCAGCCGCTGCTGCTCGCGCACCTTCCCCGTCACACAGCATCCTCGCTGCCCAAGCCATATCCCTGCGGGATGCAGCTGGCCTCGGGGCAGGACGGTGCCTGATGCCTGCTTGCGGGACCAAGGCCACCCACCCCCAAAATCCGAGGGCCGCATCCTGCAAACGGCCCCCACCGCTGCGCTCTCCGTGCTTTCCGTGGGGCGCGAAGTTTTCCCGATGCGAAGCGCCTGTCGGATTGGGGCTTAGGAAGGAATATTAATATTTTCCTGGCAGCCGACCTTCCCAGGGCTGGAAAGCAGAAGATTGCCTGCGCGTAGCTTAATTCCTCAATACCTTTTATTAAATCCCCCCCACCCCCACCCCCTTTATACATATTCACCCTGCCCGCTGACACGCCGGCGCTTGTTTTTCATAACGTGCCTTTAAAGTGACAACTTTATGGCGGAGCCGAGAAACTTTTATTAGGATGACAAATACAAGGGGGAGCGTGGCGCCGGCTGGGACGGCAGCAAAGTCCCCAGGCGCTGGCCAGAGGGGGCCGTAGGTGGCAGCTGCCCCTGCTCGCACCCTGCACCCAGGCAGCTGATGGGACTCCCGTAAACCAGATTCTCCTCGGCGGGGGATTCCCCTGAAAAAAAAAAAAAAAAAAGTAAAATAAATAAATGTGGTATGGTTGTGTAAGCTTCGGAGACCTGCAAGGCCTCCTTGTCAATTATTAAACATGACCAAAGATGACATCCCTAACTGCTGCACATGCCTTTGGAAGAAAAGGCGCTGTCGAGATCCAGCTTTCAGGCACAGAGGATGACATTTGATTCTATTTGGATTCCTTTTCTTGGAAAAGCACCTTTCCTGGCAGAAAAAGGACTTTCTTTTTAACACACTAAAACCCCCTGTTGGTCCCCAGGCTCAGTGTGGTGGGCGGGTTGTGGCTGCCAGGGTGCAGGGAGCAGAGCCGGCACCCAGGGGAGCTGTGGGCACCCCGGGTGCGCAGCGGGCAGGCGCGGGGCTGGACACACTTCATCATCC